ATTCTGCTGGACTAACTAATGTCAGAGTACTTTTGCAGAGTTGAAAGTTCATCTTACCACACCCATAATCTTGGCTCTGCCTGACACCTCACCAGAATCGGGAGCTTTTGTGTTGGATACAAATGCGAGCGATGAAACGATCGGCGCAGTTTTATCCCAGAGAACTCCGGCGGGCGAAGTTGTGATCTCCTACGCTAGTCGCCGCTTAGATAAATGCGAGCAGAATTATAGCACCACTAGACGGGAACTACTGGTGCTGGTTAGCTTTTTGCGACATTCTAGACCGTACGTACTTGGAAAGTCATTACAGGTTCGCACTGATCACCAACAGTAGTGTATGGTCAGTTAACCCTTTGTCCTTATTCAGTTAGGAATTCGTATTAGTATCATTATTTCCGGGTATACAAAATAATCGCCTCGGCTGCCGACAACTGACACTGATCAACAAAAGCGCCTATACCCTGATTCCTCTCACCAGAACTAGGGGCCGATATCACTTTAAGATTAGAATGGACATTGCTTTCTTCCAATTCTACTCGAAGCCTGGCCATTTCTAATTCAAGATCTACTAAACGCTTCTGCTTATCCAAATCTGACTGGCCTTTTCTTAACTCCTCTACAGTCATTACAGCGGACGAACGACGGGAAATAATACTATGCTCAATCTTATGGCTAACATGTTAACCAGAGCATGAAGCACCATCATGATATTCATCAATGACTTGCCGGTATGCTGCATCATCCATGGGATTTTCGGAGGTAAAATTCCTTTCAGACATTGTCCGATGTGATTGAGTGCGTTCCAATTCACTTCAAGGCGTAAGGGACCGTCAAATTCCGGAATCCAGTTGAAAGCAAACGAAATGCTGTTGAGTACGGCACTCGAAACTTCAAACCACTCCAAACAAGGAAGCAGTATTGAGTACTGTTTCACTGAATACACTAGTGCTGTTACACTGCCTCGTGTGCATAGAAAACGACGTGGACAAGAAATCTGTTCGGACGCCCCAATACTAATGGCACTTCTTGAAATCCCTGAGAAGACATAACTTAGCAGGGAATCCAAGAGACTTGCGAAGCTAAGTAGCATGGAACGTGTTTTGATCACTCTAAAGCTTGTATGCCCAACAGAATTTGAAGACGTCCTACGAAAATAACAAGTTACAACTTGGATGAGAATCGGATAGAAAATGTCGAACGGTATCTCCTTATGACTAGACTAAAAACAGATGACAAATCTATCTGAAGTCTAGCTCAGGTCGAATCCGATCCGGATGCGAATGTACTCAAATGTGGAATAAAATTCGGTTTACATCGCTGTACGAGCAATTTTTCAGTCTGACATCGGCAACCTATGGTGCAAGCAGGTAGTCGGAGGCTCACGCAGTAGATCTGGTGAGTAAGCTGACATCGCAGAGAGCAACAAGTGCGGAATCATCGGGAAAGAGTACACTGAGTTGTTGACACGGTTAAATCAAGATGAATATGTGGTGAGATAGGGATCTGATAACGGTCCTACTGTTATCACAATGGGCAGATAGGAATACAGGCGCGCACACAAGAAAATGCATATTCTCGGTATACCGTTTAAAAACCTAACTCCATATGTGTACGAAAGATGTTCAAAGTTGTCACCAATTACTCGGTCGAAAGACTGAACTACGCAGTCGATTTCGCAGTTTGAAACACTGAGTCCCCTTCTATGCACCTCAGTAACGCAATGAGAAGACATGCATTGCAAGATGTCATCATTTCGATTGCTTTCTTCAGTCGCAACGCAATACAAGTAAGAAACACGCGGAGTTACATAGGGTGGTAACCTAGTAACATAGATAAGCAAAAACAAAATTGGCGTGTATGACACAATCAGGTCCGTGGCAATCTAACTTGATTGCCTCAGTTGTTTCTGGGCACAGAGCACTGGACCATTTATCCTTGTCAATAATACCTCACTGATTGCCAACAGTTTACAATTCCTATTGCACAATAATAGCTAGAAGAAACTGATCGGGTCCACCGGATGATCAGTCATCATAAGATGCTTAGCGATAGACCAGGCGGGATTCTTGCTCATCGTTTGATCCGCTCTACCTTGTTGTCTCAATGATTGCGTTAGCGACTTTGTTCAGCGACCCTTCGAGACAGTCGTTGATCAGTCCGGTCTAGGTATCTTTCACTGCAACTGCAAGTGTGAGACCGAAGTGTCTAGCAAGCTGCTCTGATAATTGTCGAGAACAATCCTTCGTGTGGTGTGGACGAGTCGCAGCTGAGCGGTCGTATAGGTGCGTGTTGGAGCGGATCACTAGAACAATCGGCATAAAAAAGGATATCTATTTGTCCCTGCTGTTCAAAGGCGATCAGGTTACAAGCGATATCACACACAAGCTTAGATTCGCTCGAACACGCATCAACGCGACTCCTCCAAAACACACGAAGCAGTGTTCTCGACAACCATCAGAGCAGTTCAATAGACAGTTCGGCCTTTCACACAATTTATCAGTTCACGTGCAGTTGCGGTGACACATCCAGTAACATGACTGATCTTCGACTGTCCCAAAGTGTCTAAGACTGCGTAGTTGTCTGCACGTGTTGGGTAGAGATAGCAAGATATCAACTTGATCCATAGATGATCGACCGAAACCTCTCCCCACCCGGTGAGCTAACGCTTGTCACAACGGTCAATAGCCGGTTGGAGGGGTCATTTCGAAGCACTTGTTGAGTGAGATGCGACGCGTTATCCCAATGTGGACCACGATTCGCATTGAAGTGAATCTAGGTCAATACGATCACTGGGACTGCACTTGAGAAGCAGATAAGTGGCAAGTGCGGTGTTGTGAGACAACAACACTCAAGGTGCTTCTGTTGCAAATATGGTCCCACTAACCGAACTACTGACCGGATTTCACTTCAGTGTGTGGATCGTGTGTCGTAAGCTATATCCGCATCAAATGAATTCACAATATGCAACATTGCTTTCATGTGGAACATCAATCGTTATAAGCTTGGACCCAGTCTAGGTGAAAAACAGTTTTGAGCCCTAAACGCTGATGACACCTTAGTGGTGTTTTTAATATTACTAGGGAGACGGAAGGCACATCGGAAACATTAAGTGTAGATCACTGTGAAATCACATTCACCACGCAAAACGTGTTGCCTACGGCTCATCCTCAACTATCATGCAGGTCCGCGGCCGTCACTCATGGCTTAGTGGTACCAGCTGCTGGAATCCGGAAGTCACAGGGTCGGAACCCGACAGGGGTCCGAAGAAGACGCACCACTGACGAGACCCAGAAGGTCGAAACAGCGCTGTCTGGTGCTTTTTCAGACGTGTCAAAGCCTGCTGACCGAGAGAGAGGACCGCGAAGAATTAGCCCTGGAATTAGATAAGTCGCTCGTAAAATGGACTTATCCTAAACAGAGTTGGACAAGACAGCCTCCAGATTGCAACAGCGACTTATCAGTGAACTCTAAACGATAATTAGTTTGTGTTTGTTTGGTGAAAGTTCATGTATTTCTCACGCTCAGCTAACGTGATTTGCTGATGATGAGGATTAGGACTGTTTGCTCAGGAAATAGGTAAACATTCTCACAGCGCTATACGCACAGAGTAAGGGTTTATGGCAGACAGTAACAGCTCTACAATATTTGCAGCAATGCTCTTCCTCTGTAATTTCGTCTTGGACGAAGTCATAGAAACAAATTGCACTGGACATGACTTAGAAGGTGTGGAGATGTTTCCAGGTGACAGACTTGTTTATTTGCAGTATGCCGAAGATATAGCCCTTATCTGTGAAGGCTTCCAAAAGTGCCAAGTAGATCTAGATAAACTGACACTGGATGTCAATAGTTTCGGGTTATGCTTTGCACCCGCGAAATGCAAAGTCCTCCTCCAAGATTAACCGGAATCCAATCCTGTGCAGACCGTTGGGAAGTATCAAATAGAATTCGTCCAGAAATTCAAGCATTTTGGCAAGCTATCTTAGCGCCTGTAGAATAGAAGATGAAATCCCAAGCGCATACCAAAATCTCAAGGTGCTTTGCCAATCTCAGCCAGCTGCGGCGCCGGCGCGACATTACTTTCGCCCTGAAGAGAAGAGTTTACAATGCATCCGCATATTCAATCCTACTGTACGGCTGCGAATCCTGGCCCATCAAGTCGACAAAAACACACAGAGGCTAGTTACGTTCGACCATCGCTGCCTCCGCAGCTTAGCTCATGTCTGGTGGGAACACTGTGTGAGCAATGAATGTGTTCGGCGCCTTTCATTCGGTCAGAAAGAGCGAGTGAACCGCTCAGCACCATCATATCACGTACCAAGTTGCGATGGCTGGACCACGTGTTGCGCATGCCAGCACACAAACTCCCGCGCTGTGCACTGTTTACGCGACCGGGATAGTAGAACAGGAGCAGAGGTCAAGCGATGACATGATCAAGAGGAATGGAGGCCTTCACTTCGAAGTTGGCGTCGGTTGGTGTTACCCGTCAGACTGGATACACTTGTTGACATGGCGAAGGGCCGTCCTCCACGGCGTTTGTGTTTTGAGTTTCTTTGCCCCTCCTCATTCCGAGTATATTCCACTCCAATCACGTCCTCACACTATGATACTAAGCATCATAGTACTTAGTTGGTTTTTATATGGTGTTCTGTAATACTTTGTATCTCGCTCTTTCAGGTGACTTATCCTTTTGCACTACGGTAAAATAGTTGAAGTTTGGTTCTCACCTTCAGCTTACGTGTAAGGATGATGCTGATAATTGACTTCCGTGATCGTTTGATAAACGGTGTTGTGTAGAAGATAGAAATAAATCTTACTGCAGGTGGAGTAACAAGATATGCACGAACAAAGCACAAAATGCAGACAAGATCAGGTGTTGGCACCAAACAGAAGTATGCGACGCGCCGTTGGAAGCTGAGTCATGAAAAACAGGATTTGACTCGAAAACCGGAAGCGATGCGAACTAACAAATGTATAGAATAAACAGGGAGCGCAAACAGAAGCTAAGAGCCTCGCGTCTGGACAGTAGATGACAGAAAACAAGCCGTAACGCCTAAAGACCTGAATAGGGGGGGGGGGAACGCAACCGTCACTCACCGGCAAGTCATGTCCGCGACGGGGGTCCACATGTTTGTCACGGGGTCGTAACACTCGACAGAGGAAAGACAACGGCGAGCCACACCATCGTAGCCACCGACAGCGTAAATCCTTCCATCCAGTGCTCCAGCGCCAACAGAGGAGCGTCTACAAGACATGGATGCAATGAAGCGCCAGTTACCAGACCACATATCGAAGACCTCGACACTGTTCAGCCCTGAAATGGCAAGGCGAAGGATTTGACAGCCGTCAGATGGGAATGTTTTTCACTCGGGAGAAACGTAAAATGCACACAATCAGATATTGTGAAAATAACGCAGTGCGAGGAAGGAAACACAAGTATCCAACACGTAGAAGTTAACACAGAGATAAGTGAAGGAGCCTATCCAGTTTTGCGATGCTTTTGGTGCACCGCGCGATGAGAGAAGTCTCATGGTAAAGAAAAAGTATGGAAACCGGCATTGGGACTCCACGCTAAAGAGTCTGCCACCTTTAGGAAAGATATTCGACCGGAGAATGCTAGCCGGTCGGAGATTGACAAAAAAGGAGGATAGAAAAGTGCTGGAATAAAGAAGTGATAATCGGGGAGTACGAAGCTTCAACGGGTGCGAAATTTGATTGACTGGACGTGTGAGAAGAAATGAGATCAAAACACAGCGATATGTTCATTTCAAGACAAAGAAGATGAGAGAGTACGTCGAATTGTGCATTGTGGACGCAGTACGTACCTAGCAGTCTCACATCAGGAATAACTACCTTCAACTGCAGTTGACTCTAAAAAGTGACTGATGTAGCAACAGATATCGGTATCCATAGTGTGAGGCATAGAGATTGTGGGAAACATACGATCAGGCCTAGAAGCATGCGCCAGAACGGTGACGGAATGCGCCGAATTGAACGGTCCACTGTGAAAGGAGGGCAATTAATAAACACTAAATACACTTTTTCGGAGTCATAAGTCAACAAATCCTAGGATGTTACAGAGGTGGAGTGGTAGTTGAACTTATACTTGCAGACACAAATCAACAAACATCAAAAAGAACCCAATGTCCAACGATAAATCAGAGAGGTCAATACGAAAGGGGTACACGAACAGAGGGGGAGAATGAAGGGCAGCAATAGCTGATCAATAGAATCGACAGGCAAATGAAGCTGTCTTAGACAAAGGGCCACTAGCAAGTGGACTACAGACAGCAATGACGATGTAACCTATGTTATTGACGAAACGTTTGCATCTAAAATATTCCGTTCGAAGAACAAGCGAATAAATTTAGTACCAGACGTTTTACATTCGACAGCAAGATATTGACCAACTCTATTCGATCGTATGGATGGGTTGTGACAATTCTCATCAACCGCCTTCTATTAGAGAGTAGTAGGAAGGTTTATTGGGTTTTTGAGAAGGTTCATCATAGCTAGACTCAGTCAGACAGCCACGACATATCAAATAAAAGCGCTAGACGGCCGTTTCGTCATACTGGAACCCATCACTAGCGCATATCCGGTGGATGCATGACCTTACGCTTACGAGTCAGCGACTTATACCACTAAGTTACGACTGACGGCAGCGGGCAGCCAAGAGTGATTTCTAACTGCGATACAGCGTAGCTCATCTCCAACTACTCTCTACCAATCAATAATTGCACTAACAGCCTACATGCCATTTCGATTGGTGGCGACTTGCATATGTAGTCATAGCTCCGGGGGTCAACACTGTTTTCTGCATACCCACAGCATGCATGACAATGGAACGTGAGCCGAGCTACACCGCAGTTAGAAAGCAGTTATGCTGGTCCGCCGTTGTCACTCATGGGGATCTGTGGCTTAAGTCGCTGGCTCATAAGAGTAAGACCATGAGTTCGGGTTCAGCAGGATCAACGGATGCGTGTTAGTGATGAGCCTCAATAGGATGAAACGGCTGTGGCTGTCTAACAGAGTATAGTTGAGACGACACTTCTCTAAATATCGTCTTTTACGCTTGCATGTGGTTGGCCAATGCCACCCAAAGACAGCACGATGACGCACTACGCTTAAAGTGAGTGAAACGGGTTGTGGAGGATTCGAAGTGCTATCACTTTGATAAAACAGCTACACGGAACCAAGGGGGGTGAGTATCAAGGTAGTTGCAGAAACCAAGTTCTCTACGCAACGCAGCACAAAGATATAAGCGACGATGGCGAAGGGAGGGGATACAACGATCTACCACCGAACACACCATGAAGGTGGCGAAAGACACAGTTCAAATACTAGGATCTGCACATGATCAGGTGCGAGACCGGGCACGTATGTAAGCAGAACGTGAACAATTTTCGCATACAGACCTGAATTTCCATCAAAACCGCCCACGGCATAAATGTGTCCATTCAACACAGCGACACCAAGAGTTGCACGTCGACATTCCATATTTGGACCAGAGTGCCAAATGTTGCGAATCGGATCGTAAATCTCCACAGAACGGACCCGAAGGGCCCCATTGAAACCACCAACAATATAGACCAAACCGCCGACCACAGCAACACCGCACCGACAACGTCGGCTGGGAAGATCAACAACGGCTGCGGAGGAGTTGCAGCTACCGGTGACTGACACGCGAGCACTTGTGGTAGGCGACATTGATGGAGACGGGGACCCTGAACCAGCAGTGGACTGGGCTGATTCTGACGCTTGGGCGACAGAAGTGAGGTGGGAGTCGGTATCGCTTGAGCGCCACAAACCGGTCCGGAATTCGTACATCTCAACCGATCGGATGGCTTTGGGTGCTTGACCACCGATTACAATCAAGACCTGGCGAAAAAATAGATAAGCAATAGAAAGATTTAGTTGGTGCGAAAGCCGGAAGGCGTGATGCTACAGGTAAGCACTAGAATGAGATGTCGTCAATCCTTAATAATCCTCGGGACTGATCTTGAAACTGAGAGAAACATGGTGCTACAGGAAACCTGATGATCAATAACATTCAACAAGGATCCAGTTAAAGTCATGAGAATACTTTCATCTAGTCCACAATATACTTATGTCAAGCATTGAGTTTGTACACAATGTGTTACAGGAGGAGAGGAAGGCATGCATAAGCAGCCGGTAGGTCAGCTTAATTAAGTTTTAACCTGAAGAATGCAGAGCCTACGATTCATATATCGATGGAATGAAGAGATCAAATTTAGCGCTATCAATAAAGTGGATTACTGAAAAAGTATGAGACTCTGTACATGATAAGCATAGGAGAAGTACCGTAAGGATCGACAGAGAGGTGCCCAAAGGGTGAGCGCCTGAAAGAGAATGACTATCATTAATCAACTGAAGTAGTGAGTCCGCTGGGAGACACAAGAGTAGCTCGATTCATGGAGAAGGGATGCAACAATATTACTGAGCGGAGAAAGGGAAAAGACTAAGAAAGGAAGTCTATTCTCCGAGTAGTAAGTGAGTTAGGAGCAAGCTCAAGGCACAGAGCGTAAAACTGGATAAGGCACTACTTCAGGATGAGTTGGGGCTATGTATGGGATACTTCCAAAAAAGAAAAGACTTAAACATGCATTATGATGAAAGAGAAAGTAAACACTAGCCCCCCAAGCAACCTTTCCAGAAATAACGACAAAAACAATGGGTGAGCAAGCGGATTGTGATTAAAAGGTTTGTGTTACGGTGGCGAACACACACCTTTGGTAAACCGATGGGCGTACGGGGTCTGGCTCGTTCGGAGGTCACACGTAGTTTCTGTTCCCAAGACAACAGATGATAACTCAGGGCCTCAATCAGGTAGTCTTTGCACCAAGGATTCGCGGTCAAGAAGACTTCTGACTGACTCAACCGGACCAGATAGTCGCGGGGGAACAGAGCGAAACGCACATGGCCACACAATCGACGAGCCGAACGTTGACGGGTATCGGAATCATGCGCTATCCAACGAAGCACAGCCTCAAAAACCTGGTCCTCGGACACGGCCAGTTGATCGCTGGAAATTAGCTGTTCCAGTTGGTCAGCAGTCAGTGCCAAAAACTCATCGTCTTGTTGCAGTAGCTCCCTGTCAGAAATGATGGAAATGTGGTCCCAAATTTGATGAAGCTGAAGACGAGCGTTAAAGATGAAAGGAAGACAAACCGTCACCATTTAGACTGGCGTCAAGGCACTAAGCGGAAGAAGGATGAAGTAATGGTGAACAGCTTGGAAGCTGTACATGTCACCAAGGCAGATCATAGCAACAACTCAGTAATGGTACAAAAGTATTTGGCAGTTAGCTTGCAAATGAGGTTAGACTGTCATCCCATGGTTGTGAGAGAAGCTGCTAGCGGTCATGAGTCCGGTTCATTATCTAATAAGAGGATGTGCACCACTGACGAACCTTAATGCAGCGAAACGGCTGTCTGGTGCTACCCCGGATTGGTGGTGAAAAATATGGATTGGGAGCTGCCGGTGTGAGTAAGCAAAATTGCATCAAAAAATCCTCCTACTCATCAGTAATAGAAAATTCGCCATCAGTCTTTAAACGCTATGCGTACATGGCTGCGGTGAAGTGGAAGTCGTGATCTCCTGAGTACAACCACGGTCCTCCGCAATGGTAGTAACCTGCATGGTGGTACATAAGTAGCACTGCATCACAGTTAGCTATCAAGTTACGACGCTCTGCCACCGTCCCCCACGGTTCAGTGGTGTAAGCTTCTGCCTAGTGGCGCAAGCTGCCAGCGGTCATGGGTCCGGTTCATGATGTAGTCGGAGGATGTGCAACACTGAAGAGCCCCAATTGGACGAAACGGCACTCCGGTGGCTTTCAGAATTAGTGGTCGGAATATCTGGCCAGTTAACTGATCAGCCAACTGAAGTCATCGTAAGTAAGCGGTACGAACCGGAACTGTGATATCGGAAATAGTTTACTCAGACAAATATGGACCGAGATGTTCAAAACAGAACTAGTTAGATCGAAAGTCATACACTGGATATATCCTCGACTTTGTTGTGCTGGTGACAGACTACGTTGAGTTCGTTCACGAAAGTGAATTAGGGAAGCTGAGTACAGGATGCTTCCATTACGGTACACATTACGGCATATGAAAGAAGTGAGGAGTTCTTTGGGTCAGCTAAGGAGAATGACTGAAACCGATGCACTGTTTGCAGACCAGATATAAATTTAACAATGGTAGTAGCTCCATCTTATTTTAATAATAGCAGAGAGACTGAGTAAATCAGTTTCACCAATAACAAACGGAACCTTGAAGTTATGAGTTATGGCGAAGCGATCGGTGCAACTTTTGTTGATCAAAATAAAGTCGTTTTCCCGGAACCACCGAATAATTTCGTTCCTCCAACACAAGAATGTTCACGAATGACCTAATGATATTTTTAGCAATTGCGGGTGATTTCAACTTCAATTCACTGGTCACCCCAACCATCGTCGTCATTGTCCATAAGTTCTATTTCGTCTACTAAAGAGGGGGCTAACAGTCCAAACATGCCGATCAATGTACTAGACACTTAATTAGCAGATTAGGGATGCCCAACATATAGTCCGAAAACTGGGACCATCTCCCTAGTAGCAACCACAAAATGATACGAGTGTTTTCACAATAAAACGGTCACTGAACTGGCTACAACACCGAGGTGTGCAATCCACAAAATAAACTAGGAATACCTTCGTCAGCTAAGTGATTCTTAAAAAATGCCTTTTGGATCCGAAACCAATTACGAAGTTGGTTATCGTCATGCATGAGTGGTCACAACCAAGTATTCACCTCAGGTGACTATCGTTATCCTGCACGCCCTATCAATGGTGGGGTCATCCAAGGGAGCGTGCTGGGTCCTTCGCCATTCTTGTTCTATATCAATAACATCAACACATCCGTAAAACATGTGTAGCCATTTTAATTCACTGACGAGATCAATGTCGTCTACAAGCTTCGATGTGACGTACCTCACGGAACGCTGTTTCAAAACAAAGAGGATTTAAGAGTAGATTTCCGAGCTTTTTGGAGCACTCGCCGTGTGTCTTGGATTGCGACGCGCAATCTCACTAGTGGCGTCGGTTGACTTTGAAGTCAGCCCTTACCAATACGGTCACTGGGACCGTCACCGAAGTGGAGGGTTTAAGAGTACTTGAAGCATGGTACCACAAGTGGGTGATGAACCTCTCGGCTACAAAATTAAGCTAATACTGCTGGTAACAGACAACAACGCTGTCACACGTCTCAAGACCACTAGTTGCAAAATTCCCGTGATGGTGCGTCCATTTGGTGCTGTCGGTAAGTGTGCATCAAGGTATTAAATCACAGCCGACGGCATACAATAAGGGCGATATGAAGACAGAGCCACAGTAGTTCAAAAGGGTCGCACATTTTCGATCGTAACGTAGATAAAAGCGCGGTGTCAACGAAAGACTTGAGCTCTCTCGAAGCTTAAAAAAATCAGTGGGCACTTCGCAGTGTTGAGCTTGGAACCTTCACATCCAGAACTTCAGCCAGTGTTCTTGTGCCGATCTGGGAACACCTAATGCATTCATGCCTGTGCACAACAACAATTGGATGCTGCATGACAACGACGCGTCAATACGGAGTGCTGGCGTATGGCTACCTTTCACATAACGGTACAATGCAGTTATCTGTAATGATAGTAATAATAAGTATCATCATAATATTTAATTCCAAGGCAGAGTGGTAAGATAGAGCTGAAGGTAACAAGAAACTACATGTATTGTCAAAATGGATCCACCAGTAAGTTGAGTTTGGTGGCGTGAATGCCGCGGAACCCTGATGCAAGGTTCAACGTCTAATACATTCAAAATGTATAAGGCTGCATATCGCGTTAGCGGAAACGTCAAGCAATGAAGTGGGGAAGCATACATCGTAGAGAAGTGAGTGTTTAAATAAATAAATAAATAAATAAATTCACAGTCTGTTAACAGACAATGTGCCATCAGAACCATGGCAGAAGAAAAATGTGAAGAAGATGGGAACACTAATGCGATTAAAAATATGGAAAACGATTTTTTTGGTTTTATACACGACATTTTGTACTTTTGTTTTGTTTTGTGAGTTTTTGTGTGCATCAAAGGGATGGTGAAATTGCAGAACAACAGTGACGCCACTAGTGTATGTTGCGAGCCATGACGTCTAATGTTTCCAACCACTGCGATTCAGTATCTCGTGGTCCCCAACCTGGAAGGCGGACTGGTCCGACTGCCGCCAAACTTGAGGTTGCCTTCTTCATACTCCTACTCCACGTCATCGGCTTGTCCACTGCGGCACTTTTTCCATTAGCTCCCTGGGAGTGCAAAAAGGGCTCGACATGGAAGGCGATGGGATGGCATGCGCAGAACGTGCCCGAGCCAACGCATGCGATGTCGGAGAATAGCGTCCAGTTTAAATACCATGCTATCGTTTGTGGAGCCCATTCAAGTGCATCCTGTATCTATTGGTTGGATGCCTTAGAATAGTTACACAGTATATTGCTTTTTCACTTACTGCATTCCGCGATCCATGTGGCATCACATGTCCAAACGTAGTGTGATTTGGCACATCGCCAACAAGGCCACACACTACTAGAGGATCGGGTTCACTCAGGAAGGAAAGTCAACAGGCAAAATGCAATGTCACTGAAGGGCCTGTGCCCAAGTTCGTTGGTACATAACCAACAATATTCTGCACCGCGTTGCAATTGTGTAAGTGATCCGAGAACACGATAATCTGAAGGATTCACACACTGGCGCCTAACCAGGAAACTACCGTGGGTGAAATCCTTGATGAAACGTCTAAAACATTGCACGGCAGACGAATCAGAGACACAGGATAGAACGCTAGGCTGGCTTGTGAAGTTATTTCGTCCAATCTAATCGGCTGAACTGCCAAACAAGATAGGAATATAAATGAAATCGTAATGAAAATAGTGGTAACATTGGCTTAAAGATTTGGCCGGTAAGTTTAGAAAGAATGGTTACAATGGGCCAGCAATGTAGTCGATGCCCCGAAGACATCAGGCAACCAGGACGAGGTTTGGATAGCGATCAAAGACTTGTTGTCCATAAACAGAATATTCATTTGCGTTGTATAAAAATTCGAATTGCGTGCAATTATTACTCATGTCCGCAGACACTTACCATCTTGGGCCATCAGTGCACTTACAAGAACGCTTCCTGGTCGTTCCAATTAGGGTCAAACAAGAAGTTAGTCAAATAGAACAACACGTTGCTTAGTTAACAGAGTCGAAGCAAATTGGAACTATCCATCCAATGTGTACATTCACCGTTATAACACGGTGAGCGGACAATATCTAACAGTCATTATCATTGATTTCCTATTCAAAGGTGACCACATCATGAAAGCCACTGCGAATTGAATAAGCGCTTCAAAGAAAATGGCATACAACACAGCAGAGTTAAGCATGTTCGTGTCCACAAGACCATTGCCTAAGTAGTTAGTGAGGATACTGATGTCGAAGTAGTACATGTCCCACCGTTAGTACAAATTCGTATGTGGTTGTGGAGACAACCATGTTGGGCGCGATGATGAAAATCCAACTGTCTGGATTGATAAGCGCATTCAAAATGTCTTCGCAAACGGAAAGGACACATGACGATTGCATTAGGTAAACTGAAGTAAGACTGCTTCAAAAGTCAAGAGGAATTTGCTGAAAACCGGTAAGTGTGTTAACACCGATGCGTCATTCACAGTCCACACGCGCAATCAAACGTCTCACACTCAAGCCCCTCGATAACAGCAAAGCTCATCGTTCGGTGTCCAAAAACAGCCGACTGCAGTAGCGCGTAACGCACCAATCGGAAACCAGCTGGCGACCGATCGATTTCATGCGGCCTTGTGTTCGTATTCTTTGTCAGCTGTATGCACGTGACTGAGGAGGATGCACGAACTCACAGCATCATCTCGCAACCTGCGTTTTCTGATATTCTTACTACAAATCACGTACGTAAGTTCAATTCGGGTATGATAATGAGGCAGTGGGAGAGATGGTGAATTGGTATTAGACGACCGGTTATCGCGTAACTAGTGTCTCTGGACATGAAAATAGGGATCATATGAAGAAAACGTTAGTTTTTTGCTACTCACGCGCTCGATTCAATTCGATTCAGTTCAGTTAGACAACTATGGTCCTAGCGCTAAAGTGAAACAGATCCAATTGCCACAACTCGCGCAGCAGGGACAATAAGAACTAGTGTTGAAGAAAATAAATTGGATGCGAACAAGATACCAAGATAAGAATGTCAAGAAAGGTGAGTAAAAATAGGTGGGATGGAATGGTAACAACAAAACGCAAGAAACCGAAAACAAGAACACCGCTGACTCCGCAACGGCGCCATCACTGATGTGGGACATCCCAAGGGCTCCATCCACGAAGATGACACGCAACAATATAACAAAGTCACTTGGTTGGTTTCTTCATGCAGAGGAAAGCGATCAACGGGTTATGACCTAACAAACTTAGGCGGTTGGAGTTTAACGCACTCCAATGAGGCGCTGTGTGGTTTCCTCGCGAACATCAACTAGTGGGCCTAAGAATCGCTCATTCGGCGCTCCCCAAATATGAACAATAATCCGCAAGATCCGGTGATCAAACACGGTCAAACGTTTGATGTATTCACTACGAACAAGCCTGGTCTCTAGTTCACGTAGTAACATCAATCTTATTGCGGCGCCGTACACCTCCGGCTGCAATGATGGCTGAGCCTCCAAAAAGTCACACTGTCTTTGCTGGTACATGAAGCAACCTTCTCAATGGTGTTACTACCAAAGATGAAATAACCACTACTTTGTTAGATACATTAGAGGATGGTGTCTGAGTGGATGTAAACATGGACACTCTGTTGTGGGGAATGAGTGTCTCTATAAGAGTGCGCAAGCAAAAGGATGTAAGGCCCAGACGCTCGTATTCATGCCAGTGGGCAAGATCCAAGCAATGCAACAATTCAGAATATAACGCGCAATCAAAAACAGCAGATCTGCGCATATACTTGCTTGAATTCAGATGCTTTAATGTCTAACAGTTAAAAAAAGACAAAAAGAAACGAAAAAAGTCCAGTGTAAAAATGAAAAGTTTTTGTTTTTACTTGCGGCACAATAGCTGAAGCGTGTTGCTCACCTTCGGCTATTATGCCATGATGATGATGACGACGGCTTATTTTTGCATGGCAGGCAGCTGATTGTGACGATATGCTGTTGACAAGATGCAGGCGTCTTGACTCTGAATGTTTGCTCAAGGCATTAAGTTTTTCTGGTAAGTCCCACTTCTCTCCATCATGTTATTCTTTGTTCCGTAGGTCACCGTTGTACGGTAGCGAAGCATCAGTTCAAATGGCTGATGTACTGCTATTGATGGTGATGATGATGAATATTGAATGATGGATGGAAGCAGCAAGAAATGTCTCTGTGTAGCTGCATCTAAAATCCCTCAGGTGCAATAACCTGTTCTGATGGAGAGCATTTGCGATATTTCATATCGGCAAAGTATTTGTCCAGGGATTTGTTGAATTCCGACATCAATTTCGCCTCAACTACGTGTTGCGGCACGTCGTTCCATAATTTCACCGATTTCTGAAACAGAGTCGGTGGGCGACCCGCTTCAAATCCGCTAGTACAAGCTTGTACTGGTGACCTCGTGTGCTGCTTGGTGTGCGCATATGCAACAGCTGTCCCAACATGGGGTAATCAGCAAGATGTAATGTAATCTCCGGGGCGTCATGATGAGGTCAACTCGCAATTGACGATAAGACAGGGTGTAAGGTCCTAGTCTCTTGTACCGGTCTTTGTAGGGCACATCACATAGAGTGGGGATGAGTCTGGTGGTTATATGCTGTACCCGCTCAATTCCTTGTGCCTCGCTCCGGCTGATAGGACCGTATGCGAGTGAGCCGTGTTCTCACAGTGGTCGGATGATCGAGACGAAGAGGCGAGTGGTAAACTCTTCTGACCAAATGCTGAGGCTAAGCTTGAGCGCCTAAACCATACGAAGTTCGCTTCGGTAAAGCCTATTCGTGTTGCACATAGACTCTAGGTCATAGCGTGAGAGTACACTGATATATTTCAAGAAGGGCGCGTAATACAACGATTGACCAGCCACAGCGTAGGTTCGACCATGCTCACCCTTACCCAGCCTTATGAGTAGTGACTTGTCCGGGTTTAGCAAAAGGCTGACCTGTGCAGAGCACATGGAGAGGCAGTCAACACCTTCTGCTGAAGCATTTCACAGTCATCGGGTGACGACTGGCACATTTGGGGGCTTGCCAAACGTCATATGGTGGTTCGGTCGAAAAATATGTCATTGTGTAGAATACTTGGGACAGGAGTCAGGTGAATAGTACGTGATTAAGGACATTCAGGTTCCCACGTTCATAGTGAGGCAGGAAATGAGAATAGGCGACGGGGGTGAGATAGTAAATGTATACCCTGTGCCTGATGTGCAGCGTAAAACCGCAAAATGAATGAATGGCTACGGAAACAGAAGGGAGGGGGATAAAAAGGAGCAAGTAGGTTGTTGCACATAGATATTGGAAGTACTAATAACAACATTTTCCTTAAGAAAATCGAAGCCCAAGTAGAAATCCGCGGCTGTGGAAGAGCTAAGCGATAGTGACTTACCCGAAATGCTGTTCGGTGAACCGACGACTGTATGCCAACAAATCGGGGCAATCGTGGAGGTCGGCGAACCGCTGGATGCCCAAACAATTGCTCGGGTGTAGTTGCGATTGGAGAAACTCGCAACAAGCAGCTCGAACATTACCGAGCTGGAGTAAGTTGGCGGCCGGAAGTAGAGACTGAACTGTGTCCTCAGTTACGAGGATTTCTAGAGTGAGAAAGGAAACACACACAGATATGAGGAAGACGGACCGATTTCATGCTGTGGCACTGTGAATTCGGGAAGATTTGGAAAGATGCAAGTAACTCGAGACAGGATTTACATCAACGTTGAACAAGAGGCTGGGAGCCGTGATAAAGAGGCAAAGTAGGTCTGGATGGCATTAGCAAACGTGAGGTCAGGAAGCAGTGACCCATCATGTTGCTTCTGAGGCAAAAGGCTTAGTCAGGCGACTTCACATAGAATGCGAATGAGTTCGTGGCCGGTGATTGATGTCACAGGAGTTAAAGGAAAAGTAAGAAAAGCCGGTATGTTGTAACGACGCTCCGCAGTCACAAGACACCCACTAGTTGCGCGCGTGGGTCCCGTATACCGCGAGATCGCCGCCCACACGTACGCAGACTCGAACCGGTGACCTTGGAATTGCTAAGTGGACGCCTTGTAATTGATGCCGGTGGCTGAAGGGAGACGGAGATCGGTTTGTGCAAGACAGGTGAATCGAGCGTAAGAAAGGTAATTTGGCAACATGTGTGATAGATCCATTAATAGATTAAAAAACACAATGCCGAATGAAAGGGGGGTGTGACGAATATCACAAACAGGAAAAAGCTTAGGTTTACGGTGCATTATATATTGCGGACGAACAGCATACGATTGAGTTAAACAAGAAGAATAGCGCGTGTTTCAATGAACCAAAATGGAGCCAAAATGCTGTGAAATAAAGAAATTCATTGAATCAAACATTGAAAGTAAATTGTATTCGACAGCTTCAGTACAGGGTAGACAGACGCACTAGGAGAAGTGTTGAAACGATCAGTGTGGGCAGGTATGCAATACCTGTGACGGACTGTGATTTGGCAAACGTGAAGGGAACATTGTGCACATCTTACAAGGGCAAATTGGATCATGTGATCGTATGCGACGTCCAAATCCATGGGCCAAAGCAGTAAGATACGGGTTTAGCAGTAATCAATAAAGAGATCGCATACTTGTTAGCAAAGTCATGTGGCACACAGTTGGAATCGGGATGATGGAACAAGCTGTTCCGGGGCCAGACAAATTGCAGGTTTGGTTAATGGGACCGGGCCCAGAGACTCGTGTCCACAAGAGGAAAGCGAAATGGTAATTAAATAGCCGTTAGTATTTGGAATGCTTCCGGAAGTCATGAAACAAATGGGATGGGGGATAAGTCGCACATCCGTGGCACAGCGGCACGCGGAGGGCATACCAGATGTAATGAGGAATTGAATGGGAAAAATAAACAGGAAAAAAGGAAACGCTTCTACCTCGATGTTGTAAATGCGGCTCAAATACCGAAGTAGGATTGATCCAGTTATTGTTGCCGCATCAAAAAACGTAAAAGATGTAATATAGTGAGGGATAAAAGTGAGACAGAGGATAAAGAAAACGGTCGAAAGAATGCGTGAGCTAGTAAATACTGATCCGGGGCTTAATTGAGGAGGACACAGTTGCTTGGGATCACAACGACGAAAAAGGTAAAATAAGAGATACACAAAATTCCAAAGGAGGGACAAATAAGACGGAGCACTTAAGAGTTTGAAAGTCTGAAACGAATGGGGACGTCTATCGATTAGTGATTGTAAACACATATCTGATAAGACAGTCAATCCATTATTTGACGGATACATGGGTCCGCATGCAGGAAAACCGCATTACCTCATAACATGTGCAACGAATTCGAGTTCAACTGGCACTCTCCGTTGCGACACAAACGGGCCGGTTGGCAAACAGAAAGTGGCGAACATCAGTGCTCGCATCGCAGGTGCCTGATCCACGCATCGACGCCACTCTGGTGAACAATAATGGAATACATCCAGTGGTCATCAAAAGTGCGACGCCACACGAGCCCTGTAACCTGTTAGCCAGAGGTGGCATAGCTATCCAAATAAGCGAAACGATCGATCACCTCGGGCCATTTAATTATGTTACATGTTAACTGGAGATGAGGAAGGCGCCAGCCATTGTGTCACATTGCAACTCAACCATATGTCATGTATCAGTCACGGTTGAACGGAGAAAGAGACGAAAGAAACCACAACAGAAACGCCATTGGCCCAACCTCGAGTGGATGCTGGATACGACTTGAAACCGATGTTACACCAAAGCAATCAAGAAACAATACTCGGCGCTTCGAAGGTGTGAAGCATATAACGAAACGTGCAGTGCAGTGCAGGGCAGTGTGTCGGTAGCCCTGGGGCATCACAAACAGACCAGACCCCAAGGGAGCTGAGTACCTTATCAATCGCCTAACAGGATCTTCATGCAGAAAAGTTGGGAACAGGAAAAAGTCAGATCAATCACAAAGCTAAAGAGTGGGAAATACAGCGGTGGATAATGTTTGATGCATCACACAGTATGCCTGTAGTCAGTGGTCGAACTCCTCCAAGCGATAATGTCTCGTGTTATCACGAACGAATTGTTGTTGTTGTTGTGTTGTAATTAATCTATTTTACTCTTCTTTCGTAGTTGGCTCCCACTAGGCCCATGTTCTGAGGTGGCACACTGAAGCTTCTAAGTTAATCAGTGTACTCAAACAAGGCGAAATGCCACAAACCCACTGGAGGCCACAAAAAATGTCATACTCAGAAGAGTTAAACGTGACGAATAGGCCATCATAAACGTACAGAAAAATGACCCGAAAAAATAGAGAGAAAATGAATTGAAGCGGTGATGGCCTGTTTCATTTTGGGTCACACCAGAACGCGGCCAGATTGGGCTGAAGTGCCCACCCTGAACGCATATAAAAAAGACCTGAGAGAGGAATCAAAGGAGTAATGGCTAGTAAGTTTTTAAACCACACTGACACAGGGTCAGATGGGAGTGGAGGTGCGGGTGAAACCTTCTGGGGGAATACTCCGCATGGAAGCATGTCCCCCAAGAAAAGCCGTCTGATATTTTAACTCATTTTATTCGTATTAGTTGTGGTGTACCAGCCTGAGGAGATCCACTGAAAGCCATATAACCTTAATGCAATCTCTCACTGTGTCCTTCTCTTTAATTCTGATGAAGACCGTGATATTTTTTTGGTGCATTTGTTCCATTAAGTGGTTGAAATGGTGTAACGGTTGTAAAAATTCGATCAGGCCGGAAAGAGCATATCGTGACAACGAAAAAAATTGGCTACTACTACTACTACTACTACTACTGCTACTACTACTACAGTGAAACCTTCGAATTTGACCACATCGTTTCCAGACCACTTCTCTAATTTGACCGGTTTTCGCTTCATTGCTTGAATGTTCGTCATGTTAACCGAATTTACACCACTGTATGTTGATCACCTTAGTCTATGTCCCTTGAGTGGTCAACTTACGTGGGTTTTACTGTGCGCTTATTGGCTCGGAGGACAGGTCCTTGTAGACCCGCACACGGCAAATGAACTCATGGCATAACGATGTTAACATAGAAATCTTCGCGTACGCTTATTCAAAGCTAAACGTCTTCGAGAATAGCTGCGAGTAAGTCTGTCAAATGCAGCTTCCAAGTCGAGAAGGACTACGATGATAGGATGTTTGGGTAGGAGCAAGGGAGGAAATGCGATGCGCTATCGGGTTCCCATCTAGGCAAAGTAAATCAGTGATACCATTGGAAGGGGCTGGTGCGCAGTCTACTGAACTGGCAGAAGAAATGGGTGTGGGTTAAGTTTTACAAGTAGGTGATACGACTGTACGGATCCATTTCTAGGATAGTTTCAGAATTTCACTGGATCTGTCATGCTATATAAATCATAACGGCGAGAAAATCGAAAAGTCCAAATATTTTACAGTCTCGAGGCGTCGGGTAAACCGAGCGAAACAATAGGTGGACATTTTTTGAGAATACGAAAAATCCTTCTACTACTGTCCGATATGTGGAGACGATCTATCGAATCTGGAGGACTAGGTTTGCCGGGGGAAAATAAAACTGACGAAGCAAAGCAAATTGCCAAGTTCCCAATAGTTCGCTCGTATTGAATACATGGTTAGTGAGTCAATACACACTCGCTCGCACGAAGACAAATCAATTAAATGGTTAGTTATCCGCAGGCGAACGATGAGGTGATAGAGCTTTGTTGTGAACACAAAGAAACTACTGTGAATGAAGGAATAATAGGTGTATTGTGGGGAAATCGAAAGAACAAGGTGCTTTAAGAATCCTAACTGTGTAGATCGGCTGAGCTTCCTTCCAAATCAAAAGAAGGTATAGGGTTCGATTACAAGTTAGTTCTACCAATACACCGTAACAGATGCAGTGTCAGATACCATATTGGTTGGTAGTAAGAAGCACCACAAGTAATGTGTCGCAATACAACACAAGCGGATGGCTGTAAAAAAGAAAAAAGTATTATACCTCCTCTTTCATATGGATCAATAATGAGATGGTGATTACATGGGTGGCTAAGAGGGAAGAACAAACAAACTCACAACACGAACGCAACTGAGGTCGGCATAAGGCCATGTCAATACTTATGTTCAACCAAATGTGTTTATCGTTTTTCGGGAGTTCGCAATCGGTGAGAAGCTTTGTTCCTCTTGATCAAGTCATCGGTTGGCGTCCCCAACCTTTTTTTCTATCCAGACCCCGGTTGCACAAACAACACATGTCACGGCAGTTGGTGTACCGGCATGCGTAACACATGGTTCAACCATCGGAGCCTAGTGTTGAGTGGCTCACTTGCTCTTCCTGTGCTTGAAACAAGACGGCGAACGCGCTTATTGGCTGCGCAATGTTCCATCCAGATGTGAGCTATGACGTACCACTTCATGCATAGCATTGAACAGTGGGACGATGAGCCAAAGAGGAGTGGCGTTTGGATCCAGGAGTATAGTCAATACGCGACTACGGGGAATGCGTTTCCCGCAGCATATTGTGTGGCAACAGGACGAGGACAAACTGCTGATGAATTGAGTACACACACACAAAGCCCTTTAACAAAATCCAACAAAGTATGCCATATCCCATGCAGTCCGGAAATGTAAGTTCTTCTC